TAACCAATCAGCAAAAGCATCACATGACATTCAGTGAGCAAGTCAGAGAAGTTGTTGGAAGTTATATCTGAGAATCCCTTGGGAATCAAACATGCTTGAACACATCTTTTTCACTCACACATAAAAACAGGTCATTTCTTTATCTTTTTACTTTCCAACATGCAATAATGTTGTCCCCAATGCAAATTTGAGATAAATGTGACACCAAATTTTTAAATAATCCATGATACATATTCACTACATATTGAGGCCTTCGAAGATGGTCAACTAAAAAATTTTCAGTTGGGGTAGATTCCTAATTTTTGAAAAAAAATTATGTTTTGTATAAAAATCTGGGAGTTGAAATAACTCTTGCTAAGGACATTAAAAATAAATATTATGTGAGGTTGCATGAATTATTCAATTTTTAATGGTAATTTTTTCATTATCTTTTACCCAAAACTCAATTTTGGCTGAAATGAAAGGTAGTGGCCGATAGCTGTCAATGGTGGAGAATTAAAACCAAGACAACCCTGGAAAATCAGATGGATACACATCAATACCGCAATCAGTGTTTTCAACATGTCTTTAAAGCATGGCTATTTTACCATGTTTGGTTGGACACAAAAATGCCATTGGCCAATTCTCAAAAGTTTATTGAAAGTTTATTGATATTACTATTGCCTTTCATTTTATATTTCTAAGTACATGTATTTCTATTGCAACAAAGTAACTATGCAAATTAACTGCTTGCTTAGACAATGGACATGCAGTAGTTTGTTCACGTCATGCCTCAAAGTGCTCTGGGTCACCTCTGGTCTATTCAGTTTTTTGTCTGACTGCTACATTTGTATGTGACGCTCCAGGATTCTATCTAGCAATCAGAGAGTGCTGGATGGTTATGAATATTCATATTGTAGCAATAAAGCACTATAACGACTTCAGATTTTGTATCACTGCGTTCATCTCCTGACACAAACAACATTGCATTATGGCTTGGATTGATGCTAGTTCCAATTGATGCGCACAAAGGTGAATTCCGATTGCAGTAGTAGTTATTCCCTGCCATTGTTTTACAGCACTCAATCGATTGCTGTCTGTTCCCATCAGTTCCCACACCCACCAATTTCTCATAAGCAAGTTCATTTTCCTTGAAATTTGTTGTCACATGTCTAGTGATATTTTCTGCGTTTAGTGTTACAGATTAGCATCTGATTTCAGCGGCTTGAATTATCTTGAGATAATTGACGCATAAATGTCCAGTTGAGTCCGAGTACAAACAGTTTATTTTTAACAGTTTGCTGACACTCACATCAGTGGTCTTGTCCAGCATAATTGAATAAGAACTGTTTGACTATTTCAGCTTGTTGATTGTTTTGTCTTCCAGCACTGATGATAAAATAATTTATTTATTTTGTGCATTAACCTCTCGCTCAAGTATGTGACACTCTTACTGGCATGTAAATCTTCTTTCATTGACAATCCGGGCTGAGTTCTACATTTTTGTATATGTATTTGATATACAATCTTTGGCCAGGAAATACACAAAAATACACAAACGCAGAAGAGATAGCATCATTTTTTTTACTTTGGCTTAAATAACATCACAAATGTTGGTAGCGGATGTCATCTCATATTTCATAATGTTTCAACCTGATTTCCAATGTTATGTTGATTTTGTGTGATCTTCAACAAAGTCCACGGTTGTTCTCTTTTTAGACAAGTTGTGATTTTCTTTGCTATGTTTCTTGCATTTACTAGACGTAATAAACTTGAGCACAGTACAGAGTTCTCTCTCAATAGACTATCCTGAAATGATGCAGTTTAGCTGATTGCTGTGTTTTTATCTGCTCATTTTCAATTGATTTGACTTGACTGACAGGAAATTATTTGTAAATATGTCATTTTACCAGCCTCACGGATAAAAAAAAGATCCTTTTTGATGTCAATGAAAGCGGTGACAATTGTTTTCTTTTATGTAAACTTTACATCGGCCTCCACTCAGACTGGGAGACTTCAATACCACCATTGTTACCACTGTATTAAATAGGGTTTCATACTCATCAGTGTTGATTGCCACTGAGGGAAAGTTTATGACACCAACTCGTCGAGGTGCGTTTCATACGTATACCTCATCCATGTGCACTGGATGATGCTGTCCAGCATAGGGAGAACCCTGCACATGTAAGAATTTGGTAATTTGGGACGTGTCATCTCCATACAAATCATCACAGATACGCATAGTGAAGCTTCTCCCATAGTTGAAAAGCATTTGACCCAATATCATTGTGTTACGTCTCTGTGCCAATCAATTAAACTAGATTTAAATATTCACTAACATATTACCTATACTTGAAGAAGGCACTCTAGAAACTCACCTTCCTTAAATTTGAAAAAGTACAAAGTTCCTTGAAGACACTTGGTCACTTGTACATAGTGTGGATTAAAACAGCAAAGTTGCAACCCAAGCCAAGCCAATAAGAAATAGAATATTCAAAGAAATGTTATAAGAAATAAAAAAGCCACCCAACCTCATTCTTCAATCCAGACACATGCATTTAATTTCAAGATGGCAACAAACTGTTTCTATGGCAACAAATATTACCTTGATACAAAAGATGATGGTTTATATTCAGCTTTTAGACCAGGATTTCCTTCAATCCCTTGATATTTAGGATTAGCTTTAAGCCATCTTTTCAAAGATTCACAGGCTTGTGGCTGCATTGATTCATTCGTGTAGCCCACTGCCAATGACATCAATGCTGTCAGGTTACTGGGTTCCAGTTCTATACATCTTAAATAAAAGAAAATATATGGTCATTGATCCCCATAATTGAAACCTTACAAATTTTGATACACACATTTATATTTTGAATGATCAACCTGTCCAAGATTATTTGAGTTCTGCACAGGTTCAATCGTGCAACTCTCCAAAGACACAGGCTGTATGGACGTATTTCTTCTTTTCACCAAATTTGGATTTCTACTGCATTTCTAGTTTGATTTCTTGGTATTTGCTCTAAAAACTACAATCATACATTCTAAATTCTTGAAAAAAAAATAGTAAAGAAGCTGATATATAAAATGAAAATAAATGAAAGGCTACATGTGCAAAGTGACTTTGATATTCATTTATTTGTTTTCAAACTTACTTTTTTAATGCTGAAATTGCTGCTAACTCTTGTTCATTTTCGGCTTGGCTTGTTCCAAGATACTGCCATGCCTAAAAGAATAAGAAAAACATTGTCATCGGCTTTCATACCATGAAACAAAATGATGTGCTTTTCATTGTCATTTACTGTAAAACATGTCTTTTTAGTTAGCAAGTTATTTTAGCTAATTTAGCTAATCTGTAATTTCGCTAATTCAAGATGTCACTAATTAAGGATAAAGTATATTCTCACAATTAGATTGTTGACACTTTGGCTAAATTAAGATTCAGTTAATTCATGCATAGAGTCAAATTTGCTAAAATGGCATGTAGCTATTGAAACATGTTTTACAATATATTGTGAAACAAAATGTTATGCATTAGTGATACCCTGTGTGTGACTTTCACACCAAGTTTGATTGTAATCAACCTAGGCAGGCCCTGGAAATGTATGATAGATTTTAGACCCAAAATGGCCACTACTTCATAAACATAATCAGTCCTGAGTTGCATTAAGTTAACTATAATGTCACTCTTAAAATAAAATTTAAATGAACTGATTCAAAGTCCAAGGAATCTTGTTTGGATTTGTTGTTGTGATAAGCTATATTATAAATGGTGAATAGCTTTACAAACAAACAAACAAATCTGCCATCTAAATCACAAAATGTTTAGTCACTAGAGGGCGCTATTTATTGGAATGGTTTATGAAATGAAAAATGTATGGTTATGCCCAACAACTTCCAACTGTCTCGGCAATTGAGGCAATCAATACTTTGAGCTTAATACCACAATATTTTAGATATTTTACTGTAATTTCTTTGTTAATTTTGGATCAAATGGACATAATTTCCAATTTACTATAGGCAGTGATCACAAAATTTGAAAAACTATGGACAAATTTATACTGTACTAATTTGTGAAAGGAGCCTGATATTGACGGTAGAATGGTTCAGATAGATGCTACAAGTTTACCTCTGCATGATTTGGATCTGTTTTCACAGCTGCTTCAAATAATAATACGGCATTAGCTAAGTCACCTTCTTCTAATCGCTTAATTCCTTCTTGAAATGGATTAGGATGATCCAGCAAAGGATTATCCTCTTCAAACTGATAATCCTACAAAAAATATATGTGGTGTTACACTTAGCTACACTTTCATATCAATATTCCTTAAAGCTTATTGTGTATGTACATTGCCTAGACCAAGTTGCTTTCACGCACAGTCCCAAAGAGATATATATTTCAGTTTCTTGATTACTGTAGGTAGATAGCTAGTACAGAGTCTTGGACAAAGTCTTTGGATGTGATCATGTTGCTTGTCATGTCAGAAATAATGTATCAAAATGAAAAACAAGTGTAGCAATTTTCATTTATTCCATTTATTATCAAGACATCATGGTGGGGTTCTGACTCATGTGCATAACATCTGAAACTACCACTTATATTCAAATTAATATAAATATTATTGACAATTCAAGAAATTTAGTGTAAAACAATCAACATCTTGAGATATTGGCATATTTTGCCATAGTCAGGTCAATCTTTTTTCATGGACCAATCAGACTGTCAGATTTTTATCACCAAATATAGAGTTATAGAGTTATTCCACTGCTTTATTACACTGAACAGCCATGATATATACATTTTGTATATATATATTCCGGACAGTTCCGGATTTATTTACTATTTACCATATCACCGGAAAAAGATATTGCATGTAAAATTAATTTCACAAAACTTACCTACCATTTTTTTGAAAAGTAGAAATATGGTCTCAACTTTTTTTTAATAGGTCAAAAAAATTGAGCTTTTCAAAAATTTAAAAAACAACAACAAGTCATTAAAAATGACACAGTCCCCGTAAAATTTTTAAAAGTTCTCTTTGTGCTCGTCATATTAAAGCGGAGGGGTTGTCGCGAGCGTGTCCTTGAAACTTGAGTTCCAAGTGGCGTATACAACAGATTGTTTATTTACATCAAAACATGTGTTCCGTGTAGTAGTAATATGGCCAAAAATAAAAACAGCCGTTATTCGGCCATCTTTGATCTGATTATGAAACACACTGATATGTATGATGTATGTGCCAAATATGAATGAAAATGGTACATAAATTGTGGAAATATAGTAGTAAGGCCAAAAAGTCAGATGACGGTCAATCGTCCGTCCTTGACCAGATTTTGAAACAAATTGTCATGGACATGCATCCTAACATGTATAAAGTACATGTATGTGCCAAATTTGAATGAAAACTGACAGAGCACGTCCAAGATATTGCATAAAAAAAACAAAAAAACAAGATGCCTGCCAGTCGACCACCTTTGATTCAATTGCGAAATAAATCGTCATGGACATGTATCCTAACATGTATAATCTATGTACCAAGTTTGAATGACAACTGACAAAGCATGTCCAAAATACAACATTTTCAAAAAACAAGATGGCTGCCAGTCGGCCATTTTGAATCAAATCACCTAAACCACTGCATGTGCATATGTCCCACACAAGGTACTAGGCACATGCAAAGAAAATATGGAATCGGTCCACAGGATTCTGAAATATGACTCTGGACAGAGTGACGCATGGACGGACGGACACACGGACGGACTCAGGTACTCTCGGATGACATGTATCCTAACATGTATGATCTACATGTATGTACTAAATTTGAATGAAAACTGACAAAGCATGTCCAAAATTTTCAAAAAACAAGATGGCTGCCAGTCGGCCATCTTTGATCCAATTGTGAAATAAATCGTCATGGACATGTATCCTAACATGTATAATCTATGTACCAAGTTTGAATGAAAACTGACAAAGCATGTCCAAAATACAACACTTTCAAAAAACAAGATGGCTGCCAGTCGGCCATCTTTGATCCAATTGTGAAATAAATCGTCATGGACATGTATCCTAACATGTATAATCTATGTACCAAGTTTGAATGAAAACTGACAAAGCATGTCCACAATACAACACTTTCAAAAAACAAGATGGCTGCCAGTCAGCCATTTTGAATCGAATCGCTAAACCACTACATGTGCATATGTCTCACATAAAGTACTAGACACATGCAAAGAATGAACGGAATCGGTCCAAGGGATTCAGAGATATAACTCCGGATGGACGGACGCACAGTTAAACGGATGGAGACCGAATTATAAGTCCCCGTTTTCAGACTTCGTCCGAACGGGGACTAATTAGTTGTGACACATGCACATTTTTAGCTGACGTACATGATAACCAGAAACATGAATACTTTTGTTTTGGGTCTGATATTCAGTGTACTGAAATTTGAAAAAATCTTGCACATAAAATTTTACCTTTGGTGACAAATCAACAATTTTTTCAAAATCACTCAACCAAGGGTGATCTTCTGTGTTTGCCATGTCTTCCCATTCTTTCTGTAATTTGTCCCAGAAATCAGCGTCAGTTTTAGCATCCCCCGTAGCTTCAGCCGTGAACTCGTCAGCCCAGCCACTAGCTAAGTCTCCCTGCAAGAGGTACATGTAGCAGGTAAATTTTATATTGTTTGCTTGACTACGTGCTGCAGAATATTGTGAATTTTTGTGAACAGCACACAGGACAATGTAAAACGAGCATTAAAAACAGATACACACAAAAAAAACATCCACTGTGGCATGTAAAGGCTGTAAAAGTGAAGTATGAAAATTTGTATCCACTAAATCAATATTGAACTAGGTGAATTTTGAATTGATAAATCAAATGGTTTGTTTCATTTATTAGCCAATCAGATACCATGTTGTATTTATGCAAATTTGCCTCACCTGCTGGTGGGAAAACTCTTGAGCCCAAGAAGTCCCTGTATTTTCACCTTTATCTACTACTTGGTTATTTTCAATTGTTACTTCCCCATCACCTATCTTCTTAATAAATTTCAAAAACTGAGAAAAACACAAAAACTTGCATCAGCAACTCTTGAATAGTTTTGGTGTACAAATACTTCGGAAATAAAAATTATTTCACAGAAAAATAAGTTGAAAGCTGAGAATCTATTTCTTCCAATTCGTTAATATTACAATTTAAGATTGATTGGTCAAAAGTAGTTTTAAAGGATTTTGTTATATTTTTCAACAGCTTTATCGAAAATTCAAAAATAAATGCATATTCAAAACAAGGCACATTGTATCCATTTCAACTGTATTTTTACCATTTAGAAAATCAATCAAGTTTTCATGACATTTTTGTAAAATATATTTTCCTCTGTGTGAAAGATTGAGACGAAAGAGAAGAAAACACATTATATGAAATGAAATGAGATTGATATACATAATATGTAGTTCACAGACCAGTAGATTTCATTACATGACTACTAATTTCATAATTACGCTAGTCCAGTAGTAACTACATGTAGGAATGTTATGTTAATATATACTCTTTTATAAATTGTTTTTTCAGCCATGAATACATGTATATATATATATATATATATATAACATGATGTATAACGAATATATACAATTTGAATATAATCAGTCAAAGCATTCAAGAGATATGGCTCTACAAGCCCAATCATTAAAACAAAATGTCCGCCAGTCAGCCATTTTGAATCTAATCTGAAAAATAAAATGACGTGCATCAGGAACCTGTAATGTCTAATGTATGTTATAAGTTTGAACAAAATCCATCCATAAAAGCAAGAAATGCTTGATATTTGAGGATTTTTTTAGCACAAAAATGGCCACCATTTGGCCACTTCGAAATGAATCGTCAAACCAATATATACGTATATCTATGACATGATGTATAATAAATATTAAAAATTTGACATCAGACATATGGGTCTGGAAACCCATTCATTAAAACAAAATGGCCACCAGACAGCCATTTTGAATCTGATCTGAAAAATAAAATGATGTGCATCAGGAACCCGTAATGTCTAATATTTATACCAAGTTTGAACGAAATCCATCCATAAATGCCAGAAACACTTGATAGATCATGAAACAAATTGACGTGCATATGTATAATATCATGTATGATGTATGTGTGAAGTTTGATTGTGATTGGTCCAGGCATTTCTAAGATACAGGTCCGGACGCACGGAGGTCAAAACATAAGTCCCCGTTTTCGAACTGCATCCGAATGGGGACTAAATATAGACTTGCTTCTACATTTGCATTTTGCAAAACTATTCCATCATACATTTCAAATGATATCATCTTTAATTGAGGAATGTGTAGGGTAGTAACAACATGTGGTTATCAAACTTAGAATCAGGAATTTCAATGTTCTTGTTTTGTGGTATAGTGAGACTGATGTATCATGCAAAATACGAAGGAAAAAGTTTGGGGAAAAGCAACAGAACTGTGAGTCTCAGCATCAGCCAAATGGAATTGATTGAAACCGGGAAGATGAAATGAATAAGTAATTTAAGCTTTCTTTGATTTAACTTAAAATACATGTACTGATGTTATTTATGCTGAAACAAATAGACTATAATTATCAAAATAATGATATTCTAATTAAGTCTATTTATTTTATTTAGTGAGTCCTGGCTGGAAGTGTTAGCTCCTGCAGTCATTTCATTATCAGTCATTCTATTTCACAAAACTAATTAATGTTTATGTGTTCGTGAAAATCAAAATTCTAAACAAGATATAAAACTCAACCTAGCTACATGTATATTCAAAATACAACAAAGAGAATACCAGTGTTTTATCTAAGACGATAGCACCATTTTTGACTTTTCAACATTTCGTGACGCTAATTTTAGAACCAAAGTAAGGCCTTTCACTCTTCCCTGACGTCTATTCAAGAGATTGTACGGTGTATTGTTTGTTTTGTGCATTTAGTGATTGCAATATGTATGTAATAGAAACTGCACACCGAACTTGAGCTTTTGACTTCAATTTTTGAATTGATACATTGTAATATAAACCACGGTTTCTATTAGGATTTCAACGGTACCTCAGAGTTTGAAAACCTTGGGTCATCTAAGGAGTTTAGAAGTTGATTGGCTGTCTGTGCTAATTCTTCATCTTTCTTTGCATCTTGATGAAACTCATCAATCCTGCAAAATGAACAAGTGTTTTGAATTCACGCACTGATTTGTTTGAAAAGATATTTAAAATATAGTGAATACTTTGGTTTGAAAATAGTGCACATACTGTAAACCAAAAAACAATTTTCGTGAATTTTGCAAGTCAGTGTTTTTTTAGCATTCAATGTACAGTAGTTAAAAACTTACCATTTTTCATCTTCTGCTTTGTAAGCATTTTCAAATTCTTCTGTCCTGTATTAAATAAAGTGTAACATATTAACTAGAGAGGAAATGCTAAGCAGATTGAATCAGGCAGTGGTAAGTTACACACTAATTTGCACAGCATTGGAATTGAATAATTATTCAAAAGAGAAATGATTGCACCCTATGCATACAAGCAGAAATAAATCACTGCAGCTGTAGCAGTGTCAATCCAATGTGTTGGTAAAACAATATACTGTGGCAGCAACACCATGTGGTCACTATATTTAAGTTCTAGGCGGCATAGTGTTTTAGATATGTACATTTCAAGTGAGTGTGTTGTTAGCAGCAACAAAAACCAAAAAGATGCATAGAAAAACAAAATTATGTTAGTTTCAGTTTCAAAGAAACCTAATGTATTTAATTGTCAAAGATATTTTTATCTATTTTCCATGAATTCTATTCATATCTATCCTTGAAAAAGGATACTTTGTTCGAAAACAACTGGATATATCAAAGAATTATAATTACCTACTACCATGTTTTATATTCTGTATTTCAGAGGTGCTAGCTACCTGTGTGATCTTGGGTTGACATTGGTCAAAATTTAATAATTTAACAGGAAGTAAGAAGACAAAATAATTTTGCATTCCAGTTGAGAACAGCAGTTACATGTATAGTGCATTATAATGAAATGAAACAAAAACGGATTGATTGATTGATCTTCCTCTCGACTGGTTCTGGCAATTTTCGGGAGACAATGGCATAGTCTTTAACAATGTTTTAGCCAGGTTTTATTTTATGAAAACCCAGAAAATATAATCATTGAAAGAATTGTTTCCTTTACATAACTGTGAATTTAAAACCTAGTGCATCATCAAATCGGCTAAAGTGAAGCTGAGTAAACATTTTTTAATTCTACAGTATCTTAGGTCTTACCATAAGTGATCCTCACTTTGTTCCAAGTATTCTGCAGCCCACTTTGTATCAGGTACAACATTGGCAACAGCTGAAACACAGAAATGTCAAAAATGTCATCACAAACTTACCTATCTTGCAGCAAAACATATACATATAAATCCAAACAAAAAAATATTGATTTTGTAAGGTATCAATCCACTTACCAATACCTGGTATATACCATGAAATATTGATGGGTATTAAAGAAGTAATGGAATATACATTTTAAAATAGTCCTCTTAATCAATTAATTAATTAATTAATTAATTAATTAATTAATTAACTGTAATCTGTGATCAAAACATTCTCTAGCATGTAAAATATGTAAAACATGAAAGCAGGATATGGACTTTTAATATAACACATTTTTAACTAACAAAACACCACTTTCAAAAAATGTTGTTTTTAGCTTGTTCTGGGAGTGATTTAGCAACTTCAAGAGGGTATTAAGTTTGAATAAATACAAATAGATGCATATTTAATAACTCCACTGCATATTACTGTGACATAGGCAAGATAGAATCCAGATTGCTGGTGTATGATATGCTTGATTATGTCAGCAGCTTGTAGACTCATTTGAAGTGAAATTATGACACATTCAGATGTGGTCATATATATATATTTACCGGTATTTATTTATTCAAGTAAAATATGTCAAGAATGTATTACAGTGCGCTTAATAACTGTTAGTGCTAAAATTTGCACAGTAACTAGGATAACAGCCCAGGACACAAATAAACAGAAACTTGCAATAATTATAATAATACTAATAATCTATCTTGTTTACTTTATGTTTCTTAGTTGCATAGAAAATAAATTTGGCAAGGTTTCTAACAACAATAACATTAGTGGTGTTCATTAAATGAATAAATTTGTTTATTGTGGGAAAAATATGAAAATTCTCTGGGATATATTTTATTCTCAAGGCATTATGAAATGGGTCGAATAAAGCATATCTCCAATATTGTTTATATGAAATTGAATTTAATATATGCTGGATGAATAAAATACGTGTTTTGACCACAGACACACTTTTAAGTGCTACAAAAAAAGCAAATATAATAGTGAGTATAATATTTACCTGTAACAACAAACCAATGGATTTAATGACACAAAACACAAATAGCAGTGACACTAAAATTCTTATTGTCTATTTTACTAAAATGGATAGAATGCCGTTATATTACCCATAATGCATTTCATGTTGAATTGTAATCTCACCTGACTGGTTTGGATTTTCCAAGAATTCTGTTGTCCACGAAGCTTCTTCAGGAGGTCTCTGTTGTTCTTTTGTCAGAAATTCAGCAGCCCAATCTTCTGTGGCTATCTCAGCAACTCTAGGGCCTTTATAACAAATAGCAGAAAATAAATACTGTGAAGTACATGTACTTTAAATTATGTTTGCTAATTTTTTTGTTATGTACTAGTAGCTTCGCGGTAAGTGGCTTTCACGGTAAGTGGGTTTCGTATTGGGTGGGTCTCGCAGGGAATAGGGCTTTGGCGCAGTAACTGGTCCTTTCATCGTTGTTGAGAATTAAAGTTTTATGTTTCTTAAACAACTTGCGCTATTCTGGGAATACCATCCTTAGAAGCTATTGATTTGCCTTTATGATTTGTGATGTTGCTCTGGCAGGAGTTCCAAAATAAGACCTATG